ACGTTTTCTGAAAGTCTGCTTTTCCCTGATTTTTTAAGAGCTCTATTTTTGTGCCCTTGGACGAAGTCACTGGTATTTGCAGGGTTTCGTAGCTTTTTCCGGCTTGAGCTTTTTTGGCCAAAAACGCGTTTTTGGATTTTTGCGGAACATCACAGTTTTGACAGCCTTTGTTTTAAGGGGGGGTGAGGGGTGGGATAATTACGTCCGCAACGATTTCAGGCATGGGAAGCTCAGGGAGGATTTTGGGCACAGCAAGCTCCGAAGAAAACCTCCCGCACCTTTACGAACTTTATTTCTTAACATGTACTGGAACAAGTATCATTCAGACTGGCAAGACTAAGAAGATGCCCAATGATCTTGATATTTTATGGGCAGTCAGACCTTGAAGGGTAAACACAGAAAGCTCCGAACAAAAAAAAGACACACACACACACACACACACTTTTACAACCTTAACTAAAGCTAGCAGGGCGGCACAATGACACGTAGCCTATACTATTCAAATTTGTAAGAGCAGAAAGAGCACTCAAGAACGCCTGGCATACGTAATTTGGAAGCTTCCCAAAATTAGGAGTATTATCTCAGCAAATGTGTGTGTGTGTGTGATTGATGGTGGGCCGGCAAGTTTTTTAAGCCAACGCAAAGGTCGAACAACATCCGCAGCTAAAGCTCAAACCGGCTGTAGGATAAAGGTTGCCACTTGTGGACCATCCAATGTCGGAGCTCATCGGTCAACCGGCGCGACAAGAGTTACACGCGCAACACTAGGCATTACATAGTCTTTTTCTTGTGTGTGTGTCGTATGTCGATGTGGTGCCGAGGTCTTGAAACACGTTCTGGGAACGTGTATTGGGGCGTGCTGGCTGAGGTGCAGCTCCTGTATCTGACTTTGACAAATGCGGCTTTCGGGAGCTTTGTTTCAACATCTCATTCGTCCGAGTGGCAAGGCAAATTTCTTTCTACGTGCCATTGCTGAGGAACGACGATTGGGCCGACTCCATCGTGTTCCACAAGCCTGGGGTGTTGTCTATGCGCCCCAATGAGGCACGTTTCCGGAGCGAGTTGCCTTTCCACCAGTTGGCTTCTCTGTTCCCAGGCTTCCCTCCAGGTCAACGTGCAGGCGCTGACGGAAGCGCGCGGGCCCTGCGCTGCAGGGTGCTGCCATCGACGTGCGCGCAACTGCAGCAATCCAAGGAACCAAAGACTTGTGCAGGAGAACACCATCCTCCGGCAAGAGACTTGACGGCTGGCTGTTTGTCGAGATTGAAAGATTGTGCTTGGACTCTGGTTCTAGGATTCTAGGCATTGTTAACGGACCTTAGAAACTCTAGATCCTAAAACCCCTAAACCCTAAAAACCGTAAACCTTGAAAGCCCTAATAAACTTTAAAAGCCCTTGAAAAGCCCTGGGCCCTTAAAGGCCGAAGGCAGAAAAAAAAAACTAAACCGCAACAAATTCGATCTGAAAGGAACAAAACCTCGCTTTTCACGTGGCTGCAGCAATTTTTGTCCACAATGTGCACGGGAATGTGGCAGGAGCACCATTTTTTGGTGTCTTGCAGCCTGTCATACGTGACTTCCTAAAGATTTCTACGAACTGAAACCCGTCATTTGTGATTACCTGTTTGGTGCCGTTTTTGTGGAGGCGTCGCCATTTCCAACGAGGCTGCTGCCCGTCATTTGTGACATTACCTACGTTGTCTTCATGACGCCTAAACAGCCAAAAACGTAGGGAGTCACCGGCGTGCCCCTTGAACCCTACCTTGAGCCCTGCAACCGTGAAGCAACCCCCAAAAACCTGAGCCATCAAGTGCCTGAAGATCCCTAGGCCGAAATCTGAAATTTGCACCTTCAATCCAGGACCCAAGCCCACAGACCCCACCATCCCTAAACCCTGAACGCCGGCAGACATGAAGCCGTCATGAACCGTACCATACCACTGAAAAAGGGTCGGCTCGGAGGACATGTGCAGCTGTGTGATCCACCCTGCATGCACCACCTTCAGGCTGGTCCACCCGACACTCACATCATATGGGTCACCCGCCACCAATTCACATCATGCGGTAGAGTGAGAGGAGAGAAGTGAGAGGAGAGGAACCCTTCACAACCACCCACACAGCACGGTGCCACAGAGTGATGATGCTTCTGATGCCATGAGGACTTTTGGCATGCAAGAGTGCTTCAGCGCACGTCAACCAAACAGCGATTGTAGTGGGGAGACACCTGGGTATCTCTGAAGTGCGAGTCGAGGGACACCCGGCAGCTCGCCCGCAAACTACATGTGGCTGGGAGGAGCGGACAGCCGATTCCCCATCCAACACGCAGTACCTCGACGCATCCATCGCGCACTCAATGTTTCAGCCGGCGCGGCCTTAGGTCGCACATCAACTGTCGTCGCTGATGGGATAGGCGGGAATGGGGGCAATGGCTCAGAGAACTGCTCAGGTTCTTCATTGTTGATAGAGCCAGGTGCTCGACCAAATTCTGATGCAAGCGTTCCAAGCACCCGTGACCTGGTTTGCCGTCATTTTTCCATCGGGGTGCTGCCGCACGTACTGCTACTGCTATTGCTACTGCTGCTGCTGCTCCTGCTGCTTCTACTGCTGCTACTGCTACTGCTACTGCTACTGCTACTGCTACTGCTACTGCTACTGCTACTGCTACTGCTTACTGCTACTGCTACTGCTACCGCTACCGCTACCGCTACCGCTACCGCTACCGCTACTGCTACTATTACTGCCGCTACTGCTACTACTGCTACTGCTACTGCTGCTGCTACGTATTGCTGCTACTACTACTACTACTACTACTACTACTACTATTACTACTACGACGACTACTAATACTACTACTGCTACTACGACTACTACTACTACTAGTACTAGTACTACTAGTACTACTACTACTACTACTGCTGCTGCTGCTGCTGCTACTACTAGTACTATTACTAGTACAGCTATTGCTACTCCTGCTGCTGCTGCTNNACTACGACGACGACGACGACGCTGACAATCATTATTACTAATACTACTACTACAATCACCACCAGGACTACTACTAGTACTGCTGCTACAACAACACCACCACCACCAACAACAACAACAACAACAACAACTACTACTACTACTACTACTCCTCCTACTCCTCCGGCAGCGGCGGCGACGACGATGACGACGATTACCATGACGATGCCGACGATTACCACTACAACACCTAGAACTACAACAGCAAGAACAAATACAAGTATAATGGCGAATGCTGGGTAGTTACTTCCATTGCGAGGCGAGGTGACTGTCGGGGAGACCAGCTTCAGATTGGTTAGCAACGGGAATTTAGTGACTCCAAGCCCCAGCATGACGGCTATATGAGCTATGGATAGCTATGGTCTAAATTCTTTGAGAAGGGGATTACATAGGGGAGTATCATAGGGAAATATTTCAAGGATTATTAAGGGGATGCTACGAGTTTAGACTATTTAATATGAGCCACTGCCAATACTAGGCTTGCCAATGGACCAAAAAGGATGGACACAGGGGTCCATTTGGGGGTCCCTGATGTCTACCCTAATCCGAACCCACGCGCACTAGTCATATGGGAAAATATTGACTGTAGCTCATATAGGAAAAGTTAGAGCATTTAGTGTTACCCCCACCCCCCAACATGAGGCCTTTATGACACATCGCGATTAGGTAGCCTGTTTGGGGCACATTTGACTTGAGCTCGCGCTTGATTTGTGGAGTGCACGAAGCCTTGACGGGGAGGCTGCCTGCGAGAGATCTTGCCGCAGGGCCGAGATGTGGTTGTGAGGCGCAGTTTAGGGTGAAAGGGTTTAAAAGAACCCTAAACCGCTGCAAGGTTTAGGATTTCAATGTTCGGGGTGCAGGTTTAGGTCTAAGGTTCATAGAGTGTAGTTTGAGAAGCTTGAACGGAAATAAGGGAGAACGAAATTCAAAGAACATGGATCATGATGTAGGGCTAGTATACAGATTATAGTATACAAATTATGTACTTCAGACACCTGAATGATTACCAATGCCAAAAGTTTCCTTCTAGAGTCCCCATACCAGTACCATAAACATGCCCCGCCACCAAGTTCAAATTGAATATGTCCCCACGTGGAATTCAAGCAACCCTAAACCCTAAACCAAGAATTCCCTTTTGAGGATCGCTAGGATCTTGAATCTTTGAATGCCCCACGCTTCAGATATGTCCTACAAACCAGGACGTAGATGTTGAAAAAAAAACATTCAGACGGGTTAAGCAGATAGAATATGGGGTATATGGGGTATATGGGGATCTTGTTACAATATACTTACGTAAAGCCATATTCTATCTACTTGCGGGGGGCTATAGTCGCATATGAAGGGATCAAATTGCAGAAGGTTGGTTGGTAAGTTCAGTCAGTGGATCTGCAAGCAGGTCATTCCCTTGAAGGTTCAGCTCCGAATTCGCAAGTCTTGTGGGCCGACCCAAAACAATTATCAGCTCGTGGTCTGGTAGAAGCAGTATAAAGGGACTTTATTGTGAACCCCAAACACGGAACCCCAAGAATATAGTAGGAAATTAAATCATGTAAGGACCTTGGTAGGTATATTTCCCCAGTCAAATCCCTTAGCAGTAACCCTCAGACGGCCGTTCTTATTAATTCCAGCGTGGGGCATGCTGGTAGTCTGATCTTTGATCATGTTGGACGAGTGTTGAAACGTTTTTTTGAAGTAATAAGGTCTTTCTGGGGGGTTCCCTACAATGGGGAATACCCTTTATTAGGAGTGTAAAAGTGGGATCCCATGTCTGGAGCCCCTTCCACCGCTGGACAAGAACCTGGCAAGTGCATCGCATCGGACCTGTAGCGCTTTGATTTGTGGCTTCGTTGCCACCATCATTGTGCCAAAGGCTGGCGGCATCTTTTTCAAGATCATGGCCCAGGTCATGTTTCCAACAGCAGTGGGTTCCAGATGTGAGCTATAGTCCGAAATGCTTAAAGCAGGTTATGAAGAGGATGATGTATTTAATTAGGGGAGTATTCTAGGGGTCACTAGGGGGGATACTAGGAGTTCAGATCATAGCTCATGTGCAAGAGAACTGCGAAATGGCATGCCTGAGGGGACGCGTATTGATGGGTTGGTCGTGGGGTTTAGGGCATCCTCACCCCCAAGCCCGGGCCATTGGGAGGGTCTAAAAAGCAGATTCCTGACGTAAAGCCGTAGTTTCCCAAAATAAGCGGACCCCAATATAGACCCCAAAATACTATAGTCCTTTTTCTTATAGGGACCCCGAAAAAGGTAGTCCTAATTTTGGGAAACCCCCATAGGATTCCGGGGGATCCCCAGTCCAAATCCCTGATCCCCTAGACTCTGAAATTCCTAGCCCCGCAACCCTAGAACCCAAATGGGGGTTTCCTAAAATTAGGGGTACATTTTTGGGGGTTCCCTAGAATAAGGATTAGAGTATTTTGGGGTCTATATTGGGGTCCCCCGATTTGGGGAAACTACCAAATGTACCACCCTAAGCTCTAAACCACCCTGCCTTTTTCCAGGGGCGTAGATGGCCCTGCCGGTTGCGCGGAGGGCAAAGCTTGGGAGGCAACGGAAGGTTAGGGCTTGGAAATTAAGGTTTGAGGCTTAGGGTATAGGGCTGTGGCTAAAGGGGCATCTCTGTTACAAGTGAGTTCTCAAAACCTGAGGATCCTGTTTTGGGGTTTAGGGTGCAGATTCGAGGTCCTCCTTTTCAGCATACTGGTTTGGGGCACTCATGTTCTTGGAGACCTTGAAAAAGAAATGTCCATGTGCACAGAAACAGGAAAGGGAAACACACTGAGCGGGGTCAGCCAGCAAACCCTAAACCGCGTGGTGGATGGTCTATCTTGAAAGCCAGTAGCCTATAATTGTCTTAAGCTTGTAGTGCTGTAAGCTTTCCCGGTAGGCTTTGGCTTTTACTTGTTAGGGCTCAGCATTATTCGGGTGATGTTAAGGAGCTTATATGAGCTCTAGTCTAAACTCCTAGTATCCCCCTTAATAACCCCTATAGTAGTCCCCTATATAATCCCCTTTATAACCCCCTTTAAGGAGTTTAGACTATGAACATATTAACTTACTTAGCATAATTGGGATACATAGTGACTTTGACTTCCTTATTCTTATTCTCGTATGATTAGCACTGCAGAATTTCCAGAGCGCAGCGCTTGTTCCCATATTTCCAAAGGCTCCTGCCGTGCTCTTACTCCGGAGAACCCTGCACACTAAGACCTGAATCCTACACCCCAATCTCTAAGAGTAGGTTTAGGGCTTAGCGTTCAGGGTTTAGGGTTTAGAGCTAAAAGCGTGAACGCCCTTGATCTTGGCCAACTTGAAGGCAACTGGACGCCGCGGGCGAGGCTCCTCTGGATACCAAAAGTGGTTGTTTCCCAAAATAATAAGGGGACCCAAATGTAGACTCAAAATACTATAATCCCTTTATTGGGATCCCCAGAAGGTACCCCTAATTTTGGGAAACCCAAACGCTAAACGTTATATAACATTATATAATCCCTATATAGCCCCTATATTAGGTACCCCTATTTTGGGGAAACCCCAAACCCTAAACCTTATATAACCTTAGATAATCCCTATATAACCTCTATATTCAGCACCCCTAATTTTACGAAAACGCCCAAGTGAGGCTTTAGAGTCGGGTTTGGCGTTTGGGCCGTTGGAGTCAGAGCAGATTCCAGGTTCGAGATCAGGAAAAAGAAGGGTTTGGGGTTTAGAGTTTAGGGTTTAGGGTTGAGGGTTTAGGGAAAAGCCTCTGTGGTCCACCCCTAAACCCTAAATCTATGGCCTAAACCTTGAGCCTATGGCCTAAGCCCCAAAGCCTATACCCTAAACTCTTCAATATAGGGTTGTGGGGTTGGAGGCATGCAGTCTCGGCCCCGGCTGTTTCCTTCAATCCAGACTGTACTTGCATGATCCTGTTTGCAAATCTTCCTGCTATCCCAAAAGCCACTTGTTCAAGCCAATTACCCTCTGGGCCCTCCTATTCAGCCAAAGTACTCGTACGGAATGAAGGGATGGACTGTCGGGACCATTGGAGACCTCACATTCCCTATTCTTCGAGGAACGGACTCGGATCCTCTTAAAGGAGCATTTGGGCTCAGAGTTTAGGGGATGTGGAGCCCCGAAGCTACACCCTATAAAAACTCGTACCAATCCCAGCTTCCATGTAAGTGTAAGCATCCATTTGATTCGTCACTCTGCTAAACGAAAAGGCCCTACATTACAATCTGCACAACTACTAAGCCCTGAACCCTAAACGCATACAACCCGGTGACAATTGATTTCCCTGTTCTCATCCATGTGATTCTCTGTTGACGCGGAGTTTACGGAGTATGCTTTAGATCTAGCTCCTCAGAAACATTGCCCCCACTCATTAGCAGCTGGATAATATTTATAATAGAACTATATAGAGCCCTCACGGTGACATAGAACTATATAGAGCCCTTAAGGTGACCCCTGCTATAGACTGTTACTGGGTGAGGGCAAGACCCCATTCACTGTGTTGAATGTCTGCTGATGAAGGAACTTTGCAGAGGTGCTAGGCTACAATCCGCTTAAGGGTTTAGGGTTTAGGGTAGAATCACACTGGTGTGACTCCTCAGAATCCTAAACCCTAAACCCTACACGCTAGTTGCAATGACCCCTGAGTTGTTTTGCTCTTGCCAAGCAGAGACCGGATGCAACAGAAAAGGGTAGAATCGGATTACCTCAAAAGCAGACGCGCCTTACATCTACCCCAAACCGCACACCCGAGGAAGAAGTAGGCCGGTACTTCAGAAATCTCTGAGTCCCAACAAGGAGCCCTAAACCCAAAAATCCCTCCAAACCCTAAATCCTAAAC